TCCTTCACTTGGGCCAAGGCCATGAGAATGGACATCACGTTGCCATCCACGCCCTGGACAATGCCTACTGGTGGGCGGATGACGACAGATATCCCACACCTATCGAGCACCTCACAGAACAACACCGACGAGAGGTAGTTCAGATCTGGCTGGTACATGATCACAGTGGAGAGCTCATTCCCGACACCGTTGAAGCCTTGGAGCCCAGCGCACCCAAGAAGGCCAAACACCATTCGGAGGAGCTCTCCTTGATCTTCGGGAATGTCACCTTCTTTGGGAGTCGGGTTCAGGACTGGATTTGGACCAAGGGAGAACACATTCTCCTTCTACAGGAGACCCACCTTGGCACAAAGAAGATGGAAGCAGCACAACAATACTTCAACTCCAGAGGATGGAGGAGTCATGGCATTCCCGCCCATGACACTGGCAGAGGAGGCAACACTGGCGGCTTCCTCGTCTTGCATGGCAACAGGCACTTGACTCACCTGGATCATTCCTTCATCAAGGAAGGCAACGGATGGATGTCAGTTGGTTTGCAACGGCAAGGGGTGATGATCTTCCTGATCCAGCTTTACTTGCGCACAGGAGAAACCCTGCAATCTCCACTCAATGCGGAGATTTTGGCACAGTTGTTGCAGTATCTGAGCCACCTGAATGCTCCTTTCATCGTTGGCGGGGATTGGCAAAATGAACCGGAAGCTCTGGCGGCCACCGTCATCCAAAGCAAGTTCAAGGCACAGATTCTGGACACTCAATGCAGCACTACGCTTCAAGGGGCTCAGTTGGATTACCTGTTGGTCTCCAGGCAACTGGCCAGCAGCCTCACGCTTACTGCGGATTGGGACGTGCCATGGAAACCTCACTGTGCTTTGGCCATCACCTTTCAGTGCGATCACATAGCTGTCCCTGTCCAACAACTGCAGAGATTTCCTCCCATTGGGAAGACCTTTCAACTTCCTGCCATGTGGACCAGCTTTTGGGAAGATGAGGGCCCCTTCCACATCTTGGGCCAAGCTATCACTGGTCTGGGTTCAGATCTCGCCAGGTGGGCCACCCAAACTGAGAAGTACCTCAGACAGCTCTTGCACAACCCGATGAAAGGACGAGGTTCCAAGATTTGCTTATACAACGCTCCACTGGTGGATCACACGAGATCTCAGGTCTGGAAGAAAGGTCATGTTGCCTTTTGGGAAAAGATGAAGGTCCGTGTCAATGTGGTGCACCACAGCCAAAGCTCTAAAGTGGCACAGGATCTCCTCAATATGATGGACACCTTGCACATGCATGCCTCCGAAGGGATGAGCCAAGATCTCTTCAAAGCTTTGGTTCGACACTGGATTGACAACCCTGAAAATGAGCCTCTCGAGATCAGGAGAATCATTGCAGAAGAAGAGCAGCTGGCGCACAAAGCCATCCTCTCCACCACGAGTGAGGAATATCGAGTTTGGCTTGAAAAAGCCCACCAGAAGGGTCTTCGAGGTTTGTTCAGGACTCTCAGACAACGAGATGTTCCATGGCAGCGGCCTTTTCAACACCTTCCAGCCGAACAGAGACATCAAGCCAGGGAGGAGCAGTGGGGCAACATTTGGACTCCCAGGACAGGCCCTCGTCCACTTCGGCAATGGGACCTTCTTCAACAAGCAGCTGTTGATCAAGCTCAATTACTTCCACCCATTCAATCTTACCAGCTTCAACAACTGATGAGAAGGCTGCCCAACAAAGCTTCAGGACCGGATGGCATCTCCTATGATTTCCTCAGGCACTTGCCATACCCAGCAGTGGAAAAGCTTGCGGGCCTTCTCACTGCGATGGAAAGGGAAGGCGAACTAGCCATCCAACTACGGGCCACCAACATTGTGCTCATCCCAAAGAATATCAAAGTTGAGAGACCCATTGCCCTCACGAGCTGCCTTTACCGCTTGTGGTGTAGTTGCCGGAAAGCTGACTTGCAACGATGGCAAATGACCCTGGATGAACAGCTACCTTGGGATCAAGCTCGTCCTGGTAGGGATTGCTTGAGCATAGCCATTGGGCGCATGCTTCATGCAGAAATCTCCAAGCACCAAGGAGTCCACACTGTGACTTGCCTGGCTGATCTCACATGTTTCTACGATCATGTGGACCTGGATCAGATCATCGAACCGGCCAGAGAGCTAGCTTATCCTCCGTTGCATCTCAAGTTTGCACTTGATCTTTACCGAGGTCCTCGCACCCTTCAAGCAGAAGGAATCAATGGAGATCCCAAACACTATGACAAGGGCATCCTGCAAGGCTGTCCGCAAGCTCCAGCGATCTCCAAGCTGATTCTCTTCAAGCCATTGAAGGCCTTGGTTCAAGACCATCCGGCGGTCTCCTTGCAGACATGGGTTGATGATGTGAGCTTTGACATCCACAGCAGAGATGCAGATTTTGCTGCAAGGGAAGCTTTGGGGGCCTTCAGGACTCTACAACGTCAGGTTGAGGAAGCGGGGCTGAAGCTGAACACAGACAAGACTGGCTTCCTCACCAGCTCAAAAGAATCGGCCCGGGCACTGAAAGCTCTTCTGCAAGAAGGAGATCCAGATCATTATGACGTCCTCCGGGATTTGGGAGTGGACTCAACGGCGGGCCGTAAGAGAAGGGTGCAGCAGGTCAAGAAACGCTTCCTCAAAGGCAAGGGAAGAGTGGGGATTCTCCATCGTCTTCGATTGACCAAGGGCATCCGATACAGGCTCCACAAAGGAGCGGTGCATCCAGTGATGTCATGGGGAGCTCAAGCAAACGGACTCGCTCCTCAACGACGACAGCAACTCCGTGTGCTAGCAGGGCGAGGCCTCAAACTCCAAAGATCGGGGTCAGCTGATGTAGTTTTTGACATGCATCCCAATCAACCTGACCCAGGGGATTCCATCATCCTCCAGCACTTGCACACAGTCTGGAAAGTCTTGCATAGCTTCAGCGAAAGCAAGCAGCACCTTTTCTGGACTAGCTGGAACACAGCCCTTGGGGCCCTTCAGAAAGTCCGCTACAGGTGGCAAGTGGTGTCTGGACCTTTGCAAGCACTCCAGGCCTACATGCTGGATCTCGACTTTGACATCTCGGAGGGACGACAATGGAAAAGATCGGGATACGGTGGAATCCCCGACTGCTGCCTCTCGTTGGAAGATCCATGGCCTGTGCTGAACCAACAGATCCTTCAAGAATTCCGTTGGCAGCGACTTCTTCGTCTGACGAGGTATGAGGGCTGCAACGACATCGAAAGACCGTTGGACTGGATGATCAGTCATCACATCCAGAGGACCACGAGTGAGCAGTTGGCCACGGGTTTGAGGGCTTTCCACCAAGGCACACTTCACGGCGTTTGTGGACATTGTCCCCTTTGTGGTGTGGAGCTCACCTTCCTCCATATGTTGTGGCATTGCAGTTTCTGGAAGGGCAGGGTCAAGGACCTGTCTGCAGAGTGGAAAAGCCGACTGGAGGCTGGAACAGATCCTGAGCTGTGGCAACGGGGCTTCGTGCAAAGCATCTTCTATGAGCCAGAGGAAGGACATGCCACCCTAGAAGGCACAGGGCTCTGGAAAGACCTTGGGCATCTCAAACTCGACAAGAGCCACATTTGCTCCATTGCAGTTTCTCCCACTTGTGGAGACAGGAGACACAAAAGATTTGCTTTTGCAATTTGCGCTCACCTCACCTCCTCCCGCAAGCAAGTGGCTTCGATCACCGGCATTTGCCCCGCTCCGGCCACCAAAAAGCGAGCCTTGTTCTATGCCTTGAAGCATTTGGCTTTGCATGTGATCGAGCGGACTCCGGTTGCGCTGTATGATGCTGGAGTCTGGGAATCCTGGAAGCCGCATGCTGCCTTTGAAGCCTATCCTGACCTCTTCACAGGTCTTGAGTATGAAGATTTCGATCATGTGTGGCCCCTCCTCTTCTCCGTCAAGGAGCTCGCCCAGAACGAGATGAGACGAGTCACACAGGCAGACACTCAGAAGTTAGCCAACAAAACGGGCAAGCTGTTTGAGCCCAAAGAGATCCTTGATTTGCAGTCCCACGTTGATGACGATGCACATGAGATTCTCCTCAGTGCTGCTGAACGCATGAGCATTCTTCTCAAAGAGAAATCTCACTTCATGCACCGCAAAGAGGAGACCATCAAGGACAAAATCCCGCTCATCCAACAGAAGAAAGAACTCCTGGGTGATTTGTTGAGCAAGCCTTCAACGGCGGGTCACCAATGGCAGGCTTTCCGCAGTGGCATTCAATGTGGGCTATGCAAGTTGAGATACCATAGCAAGAGCTTAGTTGCTGAGCTCACAGAAGCCAATGAGAAGCCATGTCACAGTGCCCCACCCAAAGCTGAGCCCAAGATGACCAGAATGGAGGTGATCCACGCGCTGGTGTCAGGGCAGCAAGGCCCAAAGAAAGGAATCCATCACTTACAGTTGGATCGTGCTTACTTGCGCTGTACTGAATGTCGGAGCTACATTCTTGCCAGGACCAATGAAGACTCCTTCAACCGATTCATCGGAGAACCATGTTATTGCGGTCCACTGGAACCAAGCCTCAACACTGCACATGTCACGCACACCCTGGCTCGACAAGGCATGGCAGTCGAGTGCACGAGGTGCCATTGCAGATCGAAGATCGTTGAAGGTCAGCTTGTGATGACAACGAAGCTCCGCCAGAGGTGCAACAGCACAACATCGAGAGACTTGCGACAAATGTTCGCGGCATCATGAGCACTCAGAAAAGGCGTGCAAAAAAAAAAAAGTACCTTATGATAGGTCTAACTTGATATGGTGGTACCAAGTGATCGCCTGCAGGTGATGCTTCACTGCCACCGACTGCAATGCTCCGACTGCGATCGGCTGCCGATCGAACAAGGACCTTCCGAGATGTGAGAAAGAACAGTTTCGGAGCCTCCAACCGGTCGTCCACCTGAACCCCATGGTGTGAATCTACCGGATCTTCACAGCTTTGGGAGGTCAGACTAATTAGAGAGGTTGGTCAGACTAGTTGGCAAGTCCGGTGCCCAAAGCTGGCCCAGAATGGCCATTCCCCGGCACCGCTTCTTCTGGAAGGCTCCACTTTTTCTCATCTGGCTATAGATGCTTCAAGGTTCGCCTTCAGAATGGCCAGCCTTGTAATGTGAAGGCCGCCCATGCGGCTGGTGCTTTAAGGCCCCTGAGCCCGGTGGTGTCCCCTGGCATTCGCAGGTCATGCTGGGCTGCTCGAAGGGCATCGATGGGCGCTAGGCCCTCTTTGATGTGGCCGTGAAAAGATCGCATGAAGATGCCTGTGCTCTCATCGTTCCTCAACATCATGCAGGGGTTGGAATGAACTGGGCAATCAACTTCCAAACTTTGGAACACATCTAGATCATCTTGGAATCTCTCACCTGTGGTTAGAACAACATAAACATACTAAGCTGTCTCTGGATAAGTGTCACTTGCCACAAGCTCATGACGACCGCTCTGGCCCCTGCTATCAAAAAGGCCCTTGCCAGGCCCAAAACACCTTGGCCTCGCCTGATCTCACCCCGCCCAGTGTCACAGGCAGAGAGCACCGCGAGTTTGGTGCCTTGGAGCCGCATTCCACGGATTTCCTGTGCAGTGATCACGCCAGAATCTGCCAAAGGAAATCCCTCCTGCCACGCCTGGGCCCCTGCCAAGGCCAAACCCGATCGCAAATACGGATTCTCAGTCTGAGAGAGCACTGCTTCCAAGCGTGTTGAACCTGGTTGATCTTGCAAGAAGAAACCATGTGTGGCGACATGCAAGACACGCGGCGACTCAATGTTCTTGAATCTCTTGACCGTCGCCGCTTCGCCAAGGAGAAGGGTCCCACCCAGCAGGTCGTGGGCGAAGATCCCCTCGTGTCGTGTCCCTTCCAAGGCACAAAAATGCAGATTTCGATCCCAGTCTGAGTACAGCAGGGCTGGATCTCCTTCTTCAGCGCCTTTCCAAGCAAAATGAGGATCTGCTACAACCACAGGTTCTTGGCTTGTGGCTGACATGTCAGTTCCAAGCAAATCGCGACCACTCAGCAGGAAACTTGTTGTCCATGGCAAATCAGCAAGAAATCCGCCCTCTTTCAAGGGCAAGGCTGCAAATGGCACACACGACAACTCCCCGTCGGCTGCAATGAACAAATGTTTCAGACTTCTTCCTTGCACTGGCCTCAACAACAAATCAAACAGCTCGCACCCGATTCGATCAAAATCTGCCCTGCGGCCTGTGGTATTGGGCAAAAAACGCCTCTGCACCAAGATCCGAAATTTTGAGATCTTCTGGTTCATGACTTCTGCTTTACCACAGTCCCACAAATCGACCTCTGTACTGGTATACGGGCGTAGGGCAGCATAGCACTCCTCCTTAGGCGCGTTGGTCTGAGAGAAGTCGGTTTTGGAAAACACCAGGAATTCCAGCAGTTGGCAAGACTTCGGCATGACCTTCAAAAGAGTCTCCACAGTCGCAGACTCTAGCCTCCTTTGCAGATCCATTGAACGGCTTACGGAGGCTTCCAACCTCTCCTTAGTTCAGCAAACAGAAACCTTCCAGCCCTGGAAGGTCCTATCATTTGGGTCCATTTTGAGGAAACAGGTCCATCCTGGTAATCCAAGCAACCAGAAACAAATGGTTGTTCCAATATGACCATTGAGATATATTGAGATCCTTTGCATAACAAGTGCTTGTTGGCCAAAACATCAATTTTGTATCATTTTGTTTCTAGTTGTTTGAGCTTCCTAGATGTACAGTGAATCAAGCATCAATCTCAAGTTCGCACTCTTCAACCTGCTCAGGCTTGGCAGCATCCAAAATGAGGCGGGCAAGCTTATTGCGCATCATGGCGAGCTCTGTGTCTTCCCCTTCGGCGATCTGAGCATCAAACGTAATTCCCTTCCATCTGAGCACCGCCTCCAGTGCAGCTTTTCGGGCACTCGCAAGCTCCAGCAAAGGACCCAGAGCCAAGGACATGATCAAATGCAAGCTGCTCCTCAGGTCCGCATTGCCCTACAGAACCAAGAACCCCCGAAAACATTCTACAAGGTGTTTCACGATTGATTGTCTGTTTTTGGTGGAGCCAAAGGCCGATGGTTCCCATCAAACATATCTGTTGTCACACAACGTGTATACAGAAACCATACAGGTTGGGGTGTCTTCAGAGAATGCGAACAACTAAAGCAGCGACTAATCAAACGTACCGGTATTCTCGATGGTCCGCAAGTATGCAAACCGTCTTGAATCTGACAGCGTCGACAGGATCTTGGAGATCGTCTTCAGTCGAATATGGCCCACCTGGACAAGCAGCTCCAAGGCTTTTTCGTATCCAGCAAAGTCACTGCTACGATACGCTTGGAAGCAAAAACATTCGGCCAAGGCAGCTAAGGACTCAGCATAGAGTGGATGGCAAGGTCCTAAGGTTTGCTTCCGAATTTGAGCTGATTCTGAGAAAGCCTGCTGTGCTCCATCGAGATCGCCAGAGGACATTCGGTGGAGACCAAGATCATGCAGAGAGGCAGCAACATGTGGATGCTCACCCAACATAGCCCTCCGCAAATCCAAGGCCAACTGAAAATATTGCTCTGCCTGCTGGTGCCTTCCCAGCGCGCTGCAGGTGCTTGCGTACAAAGATACCGTGGTAGCATAGAAGCGCTTGGGTCGCTCCCCCAGGTGTTGTCGAGGCTCCTGATGGAGCAAAGCCTCCTTCAAGAGTGGCTCTGCCACTTCGTATTTTCTCATGGCATGCTGCAGCATGCCCATGGACACCAACCAGTTCTCATAGTCAGGCTTTCGACCATGGGCTGATGCTGCGGACCGGCAACGGTCCAGAATCACTTTGGCCGCCTCGAGATGCTTCTCGGCCTTTTCGAAGGCACCCAACTTTCGATACAATGCTGCCAGGTACGACAAACTGCTCATCACATCAGGGTGCTCTTCACCCAAGGCACTTTTGCGCAAGCTCAACACTTGCAGATAAAGAGGCTCTGCCGCCTCATAGGCCCCCATCTTTTCGTAAAGTCCTGCCAGCTTACTCAAGCGGGTGAAGTAGACCTGACTCGTCTCATCTGCAAAGCGTAAGGCTTCTGTCAAAAGCCGGGCCGCTTTCTCATATTCCCCTGTGACATAATAGATCTCCAGCAAGGTTTCAGCACTTTGCTGCCAAGAAGGGTGCGCCCTTCCAAGGCGTTCTTTTCGTGCCAAGAGCTCCAAACTCAGATCCCTTGCTTCCGCATAGCGCTCACTGGAAAAGAGACCGCGAACCCGGGCGTCATCGAAGGTGTCTTGCCCAAGCTGAACAATACCACGTGAGTGCAATTCCTGCGATGATCTCAAGCCCATCTGGTTGAAGTGGAAGGGATAGAAAGCTAAGGATAGATGACATGAGCAGGGAGTGCCAGCGAGGGAACCGAGATTTGGGGCCAGGAATGCCACGGAGTATTTCAGAAACAGCAGGTAATGCCACGACCCTGGGGACTCATAACTTCTCAGGTTGGTGAAGATACAACTTCTCAGTGCAGCTTACCCTGGGCACTAGAACAGTTCAGGTCAACTAAATTGACATCGAGTATCATCAATCGAATCCTTCATCGATGGCTAGTAGCCATGGTAGGGGTGTGTTTTTTGCGTCTCTGGTAGTCCGTGATCCTTCGCAAGGTTCAGAACAGCTGGGCTCCAGAAAACCCCCCAGTACCGTGGACCCTGCACGCCACGTGGACCCTCCCAACGTGTCACCGGTGGCGGGTGGAAGTGGTGGATCTGTGGAGGGAACGCATTGGTTGAGTTGGACAGGTACCCATGGTGATTCAAGGTGTGTCTTCTGTCACGTCACGCAGATCAGACCACGTCTTAACGCGCAGGAACATGAGACCTCGACAGTCAGTGCAGGTGCACGTCATGAAGCTCAGCAAACAGGTATCCCAGAATTTTATGAAAACGATGAAAGGAACCGGTGGTTCTCCTGGAGAGACCCAAAAGCTTCGCACATGTTAAGAACATGTGAAGAACTGCCCCTCTCTGTAGCAGGGGTTTTCTTCATCCTTCGTCATCCGTCATCCACTATAGTCAGCCTCATCCAGGAGGGAGACCACTCGTTGCGAGCTCGCCTAACAAGCACGGTTCTCACAGCCGGGAACGCGGGGAACCCGCGGCGCCCAAGTTCGTGTGTGCGGTTGACAGAATTGAAGCCTTGGAGAGGGAGTCTTCCAAGCAGCAAATGCACCCTCAGAGCTCTTGCTTTATTTCCCAAGTCAAGTCAAAAGTAGGGGTAGAGATCGGGTCGATCTAGGGTAAGTATCCCCTTCATTTCCCAAGAAAAAAATCCTGAAGGGGATACTTACCCTACATCGACCCGATCTCTACCCCTACTTTTGAGCCGAGCAAACACCCCATATATATATATATATGTGTTTCCCATATGACCCAGACATGGTCTATTCCCCCCAGGGTGAGTTCTGGGCTCTAGGCGAACAGACCATCTCTGAGATTCCCAACGGCTCCAACCCGTCGCTGTCCCGCCGTGCCAAAGGACCACACGACTGCGGAGACCTCGCCTGCAAAAGCACTCGCTGTTCTTCCACCTGGACCAGCGCAGCGCTTGGTTCTCGAACCACGGCGGTGTTGCGGTGGTGGGAGCACTGGGGGATGGACCTGAGAATCGGCCAGCATCGAGCATTGACCACTGAACGTAGGATGATTTAGAAACATGATCAATCACGTGGGGGTCCAGGATGACTTCCCAGTTCTGATCATTGCCATCACCTGCTTGGAGGCTCAAGAAAAACATCAATACATCTGGGAAACAACCAGTGCGGTACATGTTGGGTGGTACCTAACCCTCACTGAATGAATGAGTTGCCTGAAGCAGGGGCTTGTGCAATCCAGTTGACGAGTGCGTTCTCGTGAAACGCCACCATTCGCCGTCTGCCTCCGCCCTCATCGCTCGATCCATGGGCACGTGAGCGCATGGTCTGTTCGAAACAGCCACAGAAGGAAGGAAGGAAGGAAGGAAGGAAGGAAGGGAGGGGGAGGCCCCTCGGCCCCCCCTCTCCGATCATCTTTCAAACACACACATGCATGATAACCACCACACACCCCGCACGACGCTGCTTAGCCTGCTCAGCACGACATGCCAGCCATGCTGCAGTTGAATTATGACCGTCTATAGCGGTTCTACAAAGCACCCAGGGATCGGCTCCAGGGAACATGACCACACTCGTCCCGATTGGCTCCTCACCTCCCGACAGTAACGGGCTTCCATCTCATCTCGCGCCTGCGAGCGAAGCAAAGGAATTGATCTGGCCAGCTTAACAAGCAGGGTTTAACAGCAGCATAGATGCCCCCAGCAAACCAATAGCATACATGTTTTTTCTCACCCAAGTTCTACCTTCTCAGTTTGCGGTTTCGGCATTTGTAAGCAGAGGAGAATTGGGATCCGATCTAGTTAGGCACACGGAACTGTTCAAGCTGAAGCATGTCATCACCTGTCAATGATCGTTCATCAAAACATAGTAAGCTCAAAAGTGCTGAGGATTCCATGCATGACTTTTCGTCGCCGGTGGAATCAACAGCAACAAGTCCATCTTGCGCCATGCGGCACTCGTACGGCATTCGTCCTCAATTGAAAGACGCGTCTTACCATCGGCCTACCGCCTTCTGCGAGTGCCGATTGTCTTCACTCAGAACAAAGCTGTCACTCTCTTCCGACATCACGGCGCCCGCGCAGCGCCAGCCCCGCGACGCCGTGAAGGTCCGTTGGCCGCGTCGACCGGCCGCTCCGCCGCACGTTTCCGCGCCTCCTTCAGCTCGGAGAAGGCGTCCGTGGCGTCCCGGGCGATCCTCGTCGGACACCGCGGCCGGTGGGCACCGGCTGGGGCGATGGGGACAGGACGTGGCCGGGGCGCAGTGGACGGATGTGATCGAATGATCTTCTCCTTTAGTTTGCCTTGAAAACTATGATGAACTTCCCATAGCTTCCCCTTAAGCGAAGGGTATATTCGGTTCTCCGAAACTCCGCTTCTAGCACCACAAACGATTCAAGAACTATATTATCAAAGGGTGTTGATGTCTTATTGATTTCCGCTTCCCTATACAAATCATGTTCCAAACAAAACATGTCACCGAACACCTCACCAGTTGCGAGAGCTCCTCACGGCTTTCTCGCCGCACCGGTTGCTCCCCTCTCGAAGAATGTCTTACCCCCACCGAAAAGTTGATCTCCTGGGCCCACTGGCCGCGCCCAGTGGCCCGGCACTGGCCCTCCAGTCATGACTCATCTTTACATCTTTTTGACCCCCCCCATCTTCTATAGCGATGGATCGTATCAAGAAAAAATAAGGTCACCTGGACCTTCCAACTACCCAAAAATGCTGGTCGTAACTGGGTTTTCTGGTCGTTAGAAGGTCGTTCTTTCGATGGTCGACCGACGACTCAACCACGGTCGAGGTCCCGGTCCCCAGGTCCCGGGCCTTTGTGCTTCGCGCCTCGGTGAAAACGATTGTGGTGACCCTGGGTGAGCCAAGTGTGAACACTTGTTGGGATCAAAAGCCTGCTAGCTATATCTCTATATATCTATCCATACTGCTTGAAGAATGGGGTAGTTGAGAATCGTTCCAGCCTGAAAAAAGGTACAAGCACAGTATTGACGGGGAAATTCCAAGCTATGAGGAGTGTAGATTCTTGGACTTCCCCATCTGGTTCTGAATCACATCCACACATGAATTCCACCACTTCGACCCACTTCTTCCGTTCGTGACCTGATTCTGGAACTCCGGGAACCAGTGACCCCTGCGGACCAGCTCGAACAGCGATCCGCGCGTCCGAGCTGCTCCACGGTCCGACGCCGTCGAGCGACGAGAACACGGAGCGCGCGGTGGATCTGGGTGTCCGACAGTTGTTCCTCCAGCTGCGAACATTGGAGGCTGCTGGCCTCGTTGAGGTGTTTGGAACATCGGCTTTTCACAGCTGAACATGGCCAGGGGAAGTGGTGGCAGAGAATCGATCTGGAACATTAAGTGGAAGTGTTGGACCGGACAAATGCTGCGGCGATCATTGAAGAGATCACTGAAGACGGTGGACTCTCCAGGTTGTTAGTTTAAGGGCAACTGATATAAGACTTGGAACATCAAAAGAAGAAGGGCACAAATAATACTATCTACCAGCAGTCACAAAGGGGTGCTTAATGGAGGTTAGGGGTGCCCATTATCCACTCACTTGGGGACTAAACACCACCCCTTTGTGACTCCTGGTATATCGAAAAGCTGGAAACACCTTTCTGCAGATGACTTTGGATCTGGAACATCTTGAATCAACTTGATCAACAACTTGTTTCCTTGCTTTGGTGACCGGTTGGTGCGTTCACGTCATCGGATTACGAGACGACGAGGGGGCAGAAGGCATGGGTGCTCCCGGTGCTCACTCGCCGCTTTTTCATGGGTGACCGGTCAACAGGTCGGCAGCGTTCGACCACAGTGAACCCGAAAAGCACCTGGGCGTGCTGCGCAGCACTTTTAACGTCAAAGGCTTCGCCATCGAACACCTGCGGATTGTATTGCAAATCAAAGTAATTAGATGACTTTGCCCATGTTCTTTTCGCCAGAGAAAGTGGGCGTTCAAGACCCGGATGGGACAGTACCAGTAGCTGGAGTCAACTCTTCTACGAAGGAAGCAATCCAAAGAAAGAGACCACAAAAAACACCTATACCCAGGACCATCCGTGAAGGGCGTCCTGGCTGGATATCAGGTTAGTGGGCCAGGTTGTCTATTGGAGACGCCGGACGGATGGTCCAGGTGGTTTTGCTCATCGAGAAGGGCTATCCCTGGCCGCTGTCCACCCTTACCACGTCCCGGGCCCACCCGCCTCCTGCTGCCGGGTGGAGCTGGTGGCGGCCTGGACATGGAAACGCACAAAGCACCAACGAAGCAGAAAAGAAGTAATAATAAGATGGCCTAGATGGCCTGGCTACTTGCTACAATACCATCTGTCTGTGAGACTCTGTGCATGGGATTTACTTTTTCATGACGACATCGTCACATGAGGATACCACGATGTCCCGAAAAAAACGCTGCAACTGGGTGCGCCGACGCACCGCGTCGCTCGGCGATGGTTGACTTGTTCGAGGCCCGGTGTCTCCCGGCAGCGCCCGCGCAGCGCCCGCGAACGCCCGCGAGCGCTGGACTCTCACCTCCTTCAAGGCACTGATCTCTGAGAGCAACTTCTCACGTGAGGAGATCAAGGCATCACGGTCCAGTTGCATCTGAGGCGCAGATCATGATTCCGAATCACACCCAGCGATGCCCCCGATGCCGAAGGCGAGGCAAGAGAAAATAAGCTTGAAAACGGTGGTATTCCGAATGGCTATATATGTTTTCTTCCAACCGTATGGAAAGGACATGTCGACTTCACAACTAAGGAGTGCAGAATGTTTCCCTGGCCCATGCAACCTAGGCGGGCTTTGTAGGCGGGCTTTGGGGGACCTGAGAGTTGTTGAGCTCTATAATATAAGAGTTTGATCTACGCTGATTTCTGCCTCAGAGTGGCGTATCAAAAGGTTAATGCCATTATTGATTTCGGGATGT